ATGAATGATTTTTTCAACATCTTACTCATATTGATTACTGCGGGAATCAAAACACTGATAACGTGTTGGCAGAGAAATCAATTGTGGCAGAACCATTATGGGAACGAAATATGTACAAAGAAAAGAATTGGAAAAGATGGTGCACATACATGAATTGAAAAGGAAAACAATATATTTTATTTCCACAGTATAATGTTTTAATATGATTGAGACGTGAGACGTGAAAAATATGCTTGAAACCATAAAGCAGATTCATGTAAATTGATGCATGTATAAAGAATTCATGTGTTATCAAATTAATTTTGGTACACGTGAAAGTTGATTATGCTCGGGAAAAAAAAATTATTACATTTGCAAAACCTTGAAAAACTAAGTTTTCGAGCTGATAACATATTATAAAAAAAGGGAAAAATAGAACAGAATAAGAGAAATTAATAAACTTGCGTGTATTATAATGAGAACCAAAACCCTATATTTATAAGGAATGAATAAGAATACATATGGTAATAATATCTAGGGCTGTAGAGGTACAAACGTCATTCACATTAAACCCTAATTTACTTTCTTTTTACAATATTTTGTAATTTTTTTCAATTGGAACTAATTTTTAATATGTAAATGTTTATTTTCTTGATTTTGTAGATGGATGAAAATTAGTTATTTAAATTACAAAGTTATGATTTTTTTTTTTTTTTTGTAATAACCGATAAGGTTAGGAATCTTATTTTATCTATTAAGAAGTTATATTATTTTATTTTTATCTTGGGGTGCATTAATGCTAATATTTTTCATAGAAAATGTGTTTTTTCCACCTAATTTTCTAATTTTGTGCTGTTTGATTAACAATTTTTTCACGTAAAATATTTTCCTACTTTTGGTCATGTGGTCATATTTTCCTTGAAAATAAAAAAAAATATTTTCTTTCGGGAATGTAGTTTTTATTTTCCAAATAATTCTCTCTCTCTCTCTCTCTCTCTCTCTCTCTCTCTCTCTCTCTCACACACACACACACACATACACATTTTTACCCACTAATAAGAAATTAACAAGTATAATATTTTTTAAGTTGAAACCTAAATCAATCAAACACATTTAACTAGTAATTTTCATAAAAATAAGTTCTAAATATTTGAATTGCCTAAAATTTATTTATTTTTAATGCGAATTTCATACTCACAATCAAACGCACCATTAATTGTAACAAACCTCTTAAAATCCCTCGATTTCATTAAAATATATAAAATAGGATTCAATTAAAATTTTATAAATTATTAAAAATAAAATTATATTGCAAGAAAAAATGGCCAAGGAAAGCATGCGTTGTCCAAAACTTGAAATAAGGAAAATTTGTGTAATTTTGAAAAGGAATGAAATGTCTTTACATCGTCATTAACCTCATGGGAAGTCTATAATTTTCCCTAAAATCTATTGAATTTTTGATAAATTTCAACTTTAACACCCCGTTTGATTCACATTCTTACAAAAATTCATTTTTTCAAAACTCATTTTCAATTATACATTTTTCAATAAAATAATATTATAAGTAAATCAATATCTCTTTCTTATTTTTTAATCGCACATTATTCAAAAAATCGCCATTTCAAAATATATTTTTCTTCAAAATGGGACTCAAACAATGGCTAAATGTCGCCACCAAAACTTGCTACCATCTATGCCACCTCTAAATCCTAAATCACATCACCAATAAATATGCACCAACTCATCACCACCAATGCTTGTCATAAACCACTAAAAAATCAGTTGCCTGTCACGAATCATCACAAAATTATTAAGGAATAAAATATCACATCGAACAAAGATGAAAATATAACAAATTTGCCTTAACTATCCCTAATTCCTTCCCATTACAACAAATCTCATATCATTTTGAAGTATACTAATACGAAGGACTGGAAATAGCAAAATTTGATCCTAACATACTTGGTCATCTGTTTTGAGTCTGACCGTTCATATTTGAGACCTTAAGACGATAAATATCATATTTATTTCGAATTAATCTACTATTCACCGTTAGCTGCAATTTTCCCAAACAATAGATGTGCCAGTCCAGAACATTCGAATTGTCTTTGACTGTAATTTCCTCAAATATAAAATCAGTAATTACCAACCGACTTACTCCAATAAGACGCCGCCACCTGATTGTTTCTAGATTAGTATGAGAAAAGTCTAATAATACAACATGATGACGAAAGCCCCTACGTTAGCCCTCCCCCACACGCTTCCTCTCCGCGGTCAGCCCAACCTATATATCTAACATTTGCCATCCTTCTGTATTCATTTTCCAACTTCAAACAAAAATTCATAAACCTCGCAATGGGAAGAAGTAAGTCTCGAAACACAGATCATTTCATGTTTTCCTTTTTATTTATTTATCGACATTTCATGTTTTTCGTGATTTCTTCACAGGACCTGCAAGGTGTTACCGCCAAATCAAGAATAAGCCGTACCCAAAATCCCGGTTCTGTCGTGGTGTGCCAGATCCCAAGATCAGGATCTATGACGTGGGTATGAAGAAGAAGGGAGTCGATGAATTCCCATACTGTGTGCACTTAGTCAGTTGGGAGAAGGAGAACGTGTCGAGTGAGGCACTTGAAGCTGCTCGTATCGCTTGCAACAAGTACATGACCAAGTACGCAGGAAAGGATACTTTCCACCTGAGGGTCAGAGTCCACCCTTACCATGTCTTGCGTATCAACAAGATGTTGTCCTGTGCTGGAGCTGATAGGCTCCAAACGGGTATGAGAGGTGCTTTTGGTAAGCCCCTTGGTACTTGTGCTCGTGTTTCTATTGGCCAGGTTCTTCTCTCCGTCCGCTGCAAAGATGCCAACAGCCACCATGCTGAGGAGGCACTGCGCCGTGCAAAATTTAAGTTCCCTGGTCGTCAAAAGATCATAGTTAGCAAGAAGTGGTAATTTCTATTTCTTGAATGCATCTCCCTCGATTTGCACATGTGAGCGTTTACAAATTCTGCTGTTACATCTTTAATTTCAGGGGGTTCACTAAATTCAGCCGCGCTGACTATGTGAAGTGGAAATCTGAGAACAGGATTATGGCTGATGGTGTCAATGCCAAGGTTAGTTTCTATCTTACTATATATGCCCTTTTGCTGAACTTCAAAGCTTTCACTTAGATTATAACATGAGAAACTTGTTGGGATATGCAGCTTCTAGGATGTCATGGGCCCTTGGCTAATCGTCAACCAGGAAGAGCATTTTTACAGTCGAGCACAACTGCTTAGAATACTCTGTGATCTGCCGGATATTCTGTAAATTTAATGTTGTATTTTTATGCTTGGACTATATTGAGAGTTGATGTTCACCTTAATATAATTGTGACCTTGTACGCTGGTCGGATCCATTTGACTATTTGTACCTTAATGTTATTGGAGCTTTGCTTTATTAGTACTTCTGTTATGAAAATTCGTGGAGATTTGGTCTTGAAAGGAAGAGTTAATTGTTCTCTATCGTCTCTACAATCTCTGTTGTTCAAATTGCCTTGGGATCGTTTCTTGTTGGTTGGAGTCGGAAAAGAGCTCCATTACTTTAATCACGAAAACGATCTACATCCACTTTCTAGTGGCTATTATCGTTAGCATGATCACAATATCTATATGAATTCAATAGAGGAATGGTAAATTACATTATTCTCTTTCAAGATATTGATAATAGATCTATTTTTCCTGGTCAAAAATTGACCCCCTTAGCATTAGTTTTACGAAGTGATTTTAATTTTACCATATTTGTGAATTTGAATTCTCATTTAGAAAACTAACAAATTAAACCCTACACTGGTTTGGGTAAAAATTAAGTATTTAGTAAATTTTGATAAAAGATTATTAAATGTGTGAAAAAAAATGATAAAAGTCACGAGAATTTTACTATTTGTACAATCATTCATGACAACTTTGTTGTCAATGTGGTGTGTTGACAAAAAGTAGTCTCCCCTATAGAATGACACAATCTCGCATACTTCTTCGAAAGAAAAGTCAATTCTCTCTTGAGAAACTTAAAATCAAATCCTTCTCTATTTCGAAGATTCTAACATCAACTCGTAAAAATCACAGTAATTTTAGGGAAACCAAGCGGGAAAATGCAGAACCTAATAGAATTAAGTCGTAATGAATCTAATTCTTTATTCAAGAAAAGCAAAAAGAAAAAGAGCAATATTCAGAAAATTTTAGCATAACCACACAGATTTCATTCGAGTGATTTAACACAATATAGAGGTCACAAAAGTTGATATCTGCAAATTAACATTTAAATGCTGGAGTTCAATAACTGCAGCTGCAGTCAAGATCATAAAGTCGGCTTATTGGCGGCTAAGACTAGATAAAATATGAAACTTTTGAGTCCATCGACTTCAGTACCTGTGCTCCATCTTCTCCTTTTCCAGATACCACTGCACATAGCTACACGCATAACAAGATTTAGACACAATCAAATTATCGACTTAGTAGCCTAAGCAGAAAGCAGCAGATAAATATCCATCCTAAATTTAATCACAAACTAAAGGCATTCCTGGAAACGAAGTTCACGTGACTTGGCCAATCCCCAAAGAAGAAATTATCACTAATGGGATAAGTAAGCTAGTTTTTATTTAATTTAGCAAAAAACCTAAGAATCGTATAATGTACAGTAACGTGTTAAAAGCTACAAGTAAACAAAATCATTACAAATTTCTAACACGTTTTCATACACCTAGAAATGTGATTCCACATATGAGGGAGATGAAATGAGCGACTTGCAGACGCAGAATGAAGAAATTTCATACTGCCGTTGGATTAACAACCCCAACACACTCACGCAGAGAGAGAGAGACAGGGTCAGGGAGCACACTACTTTCCCTGAGGCCACCTGTGTATAATCTTTGGGGAAATAAACAAGTTTACTCCCCTAAACTAAACTAAAAGAAAAGAATGGATCTAGATTATCCTCCTTACTTTTCTGCTGCTTTGAAGGGGTCTTCACCGGAAAAAAAGGGGGAAGGAGTTAACTAAACATCTAAGCCGTTGATGGGAATTTCATCTGAATCCAACCCTCATTTCTTTTTCTAACCGGATGATTGTTCGCCTGAATTGTCAGCCAATTGAGACCATGAGCAACTATAAAAATAATAAACTCAAAATCCCAAAAATCTCACAGCAGTAAAATCAATCTCTGTCCATGATTTTATCATTTTAAATCCAACTAGAGAGATTCTCAGTCGAAGATTTTTTTCCCCAAATACAAGAGTTGCTAAGGGGAATTTACAAGCCCTGCTGCACATTGTGCCTCCATTTCCCACATAATAATTTGCATTTGCATGCCACCATATTCAATCCCATATTCTCAGCACGGAGTATAGGAACATGTTTTCACTCCCATGAGCCCACAAGTTTTCATCTCAAGGCAGAACATATATTTTAGGTTGTAGTCAATATAAAGCATGTAACATCGGTGACTCTCTATGCTTCCACCCCTTCTCTTGTCACTTACGTGTTTTCTCCTAAGCCCGTTATAAACGTAATCAATAATCAAAGACTTGCCTAGAGTTAACTCGAGTTCGCCCCTGCAACAGCATTGTAATTTCTTTTTTTCTCCATCTAATCAATAAACGTATTTTTCTTTCATTTTCTGTTGTGCTTGCTTAAAGCTTTTTGTACTGCTTTCGACCAGATTTTTGGAATTGACAGATGCAGTCCTACTGAGATTTGGCAGAATTAGTGTGATGGAAACTGGAAAGGACACACAGTGCCTCTTTTTGAGCTTTACAAAAGACAGTAAGACACCAAGTATCACAAGGACTTAAAATGTTATGCCTCTGAAACTTGAAAATGAGATGCCCATCTTATGGATGAAGGCAACAAAGCAGGCACCGTAAGGAAACTTTTTCTTAGAGCATTTATCATAACCCAGATCAATGTTAAACCAGTTTGCCTTCTAAATTTAAATAGCAACAACTGCACCTTGAGCCATATTATCATAACACTTTGTTTTCTAAGATTTTTCTGAGAGGCCATATATTAAGTTGATAAGTTGCCAATTAACTTGCCATCAATGATATCAACAATCTAAATTGCCAACAAAAATCATTATTGCAAATACAAGCTGACCAAACCAATAATTAATAAATAAAACTTCTAGAGTTTACAATCATAATTGTAGACCTTTGACCTTTCCACACAGGAATCAAACGTGATATAGTTCTAATGACTGCCCTGGGTCCGATCATCAATTTAAATGAAAATAATTACACAAATTTTCTAGCTATATCCTTTGTTTTATCACAAATCCAACAGAACATATTAAAATAAATAAGATAAAAATACATCTAATAAAACTCAAATCTGACGTAAATAAAGAAATACTAATATATGTAAATACGTATATATATTATTATATATTACTCACGAGTATGTTCCGACGAGGGGGCCGAGGAGAAGGGTGGCACTGATCCAATTCTCGGAGATCTTGTGGTGGATCTTACCGGGTAAATCCTTCCAGAGGCCCGGCATCACCTTCTGCTGAAACGGAGACAAGGCGTAAACCACAGCCTTCATTCTCACCGGCTGCTTCCCCATCACTCTCTCTGCTCTCTAGAATGGACAGTAGGGTTTCGTTGAAGAAAATACAGGGAAAATGCAAATGGCAGATAATTATGAAGATTGAAGAGAGATTTCAATCTGTAATGTTGGAGTTTTGGGCCGAAGAATTTCCTGGAGAGCTCAACTAGTCCAATGGGCTCCGGAAATTTATGGGATACCGTCAAAAGTCAAAACTACTCTCTTTGGAAAGCTAAAAATACTCTCTCATTAAAAATAGGGGTACTTACAAAAATACCCTTAAAATTAGGGGTGTTTTGAAAAATCATGTGAAAGGTTTTTAGGAAGTAAAAAATACTGTGTAAAATGAAAAAAGTGACACAATGTCACTTTTTTATAAAAA